ACAGGTGATAATAGTGGGTAATTTCTTTATCTAGAATCTTGATAGAAGGTTATAGTGATATTCAAGAGTTCTAAGGAGGTGTTTTCAAGGATCTGTTGCCACTTGTTGCAGAAATTCTGATCATGTGCTCTTATTGTGATCCGTGCTTTTAATGCGAGAGATTGGGGTATGTTTCAGTTTTTTATGTTATGCACTAGTGACTTGGCATGTTGATAATGTCTTATGCGTTTCTCAGTGAGTTTTCTAAATTTTTCAAATAGTTGTTTTCTGCTGTAGTTGAGTGACTCGTCGCTTGGTTCACGTTGAGTGTTGATAGGTATTGATCTGAGGAAGTCGTTGTAATTGTGAGATGAAGGGTGGGGAAGTTTAAGGAGAAGGAAGATGGGGGTAGCTGTCTTCTTCAGAGTGTGTATTACACATTGACGAAGTATAAACAGTGCATTGCTGGTCATTGTGAGAGTTGATGCTAACAGATGAAGGATTAATGTGTTCTAATAAAGGTAATTATACAAGAGACTGATCGACTGGTGAAGATTGTAGTGTGGCACGTGAAGTGTTTACACTAATATTGATTTGATGAAGTTTTGAAGATAAGGGAGTGGAAGGGTTTGTGGGTAAACAAGAACGTACAACAGAAGCATAAGAAAAAAAATGTTGCTATTTGTGGAATGTGGTGTTTTGTGGAAAGTGTGATTTGTGTTTATTCCCCTAGCAGAACCTAAAGAAGAACTTGGATGATCACTGTGAGAGAGTGAATGAGTGTTTAGTTGGGTAGATTGAGTGACAGATGTATTGTTGTGTGGGATGTTAGTAGCTTCTGAGATAGGGAGAAATGTAGAATTTGGACAGAGAAGGGTAGAAGAACTATTAGAAGTAGAAATAGGAGATGATTGGGGTAACTTAGAACAGGAAGAAAGAATGGGAGAATGTTACGAGACATAAAGTACTTGAAGTTTGAGGCCAGGGTAAAAATACCCAAAAAGTTGAAGTGAAGTCCATCTCGTACGAGAAAATTAGTGAATGGTATTATGTTTGTGTGGTTAATGAAAGCAAGTTGGGGGTTAAGTCTGCATAGGTGTTTGGTTAATTCATTAAAATGTTGAATGCAATTACCAATATGTAGAACACACACAAACAACTCTTAGAGAACGTTTCAACAACCATAAATCTTCTATTAACACCGAAAAAGATCTCCCTGTTGCTCAACACTTTAACCAACCTGGTCATTCCATTAACGATGTTACTCTAATCGGCATTAAAACAGGATTCAAAACTAAAGCTGATAGAGAAATAAAAGAAGCTTATTGGATCGCTAATTTAAACACTGTTCGGCCTTTTGGATTTAATATAGATCCTGGAGTCACTGATCTCCGATCATTAGTTACGTCTCTGTCAGAAAAATAATTTATATTCTTTGATTATTTCTTTCATGTAGTGTGAACACTAACTTTCCTAAAGCTTACTATTTATTTAAGATAATTTTCCCCACCTCTTTATATAAATTGATTAGTTTAACATCTCTTTTTCAATCATTCTCCATGTGTCACCTTAATTAAACACTTAAGTACAGTTATATATATGTATTTAGCCAATTCTACAGCGAAATATCCCTAACACCTTTTTTACAATACGCTCTAGTCGCCGGCTACATTGTACCGGAAATGAGAAAATATACTAAAAATTTCCTGGAAAAACCGGATGATCTTCATAACGTCACTCAACTCCCTTTATATATCACTCCTTCGATTACACCACCAATCCCAGTTTGCCCCTGAAGAAAAAAGGTTCACCTTTCGAAAGCGCTTGGGTTATAGGGTTTTATCATCTTGTATTAAGTGAAGTATTAGTATTTTTGGACGCCCTCTATATTCTTAAAAACATTTTTGTTTTGTAACACATTAAGCAACGATAAAATTTGTAAGTGTCAAGCCAAAGCAAATAATTTTATGTTCAACAAAAGTAACATGATAAAACAGTTATAGGTTATAGGGTTTTTATCATCTTGTATCCAGACTTCTTAAACCCACGTGTTTTTTCTGACATCATGAATACTTTACTTAATGCATACTTTTTGTCGAAAAAAATGTATTTAAACTTTCAAACATGTATTTTATTTTGTTTTCTTGTTCAGAATGAAAAACGTTATTAAGATTATATACCAATTTCCAATATTTTAGTGATGTTCAAAATGTATCACTTTATTTTTGGTATGAACAATAATAAACTCTAAACTGTTTTAAGAAATGTATGTTGTATAATGAATAAAAAACAAGATTACTCAAGCTTCATATCAAAGCTCTTTATTATCTCAGACCTTTCGTAACTTAAAAGCGTAGGCCTTTTTATTTATATTTTGTGTGTGCTTTGAATAAAAATATCTATCTACAAGTAATAGGATCCAAAGAAAAAGGACATAAGATTGTCAACAATAAAAAACAACATAAGACATAAGCAGGATCGAAGTCCGAAATTCCTGATAGCCCTGTAAAAAGAGAAAAAGATGTGTCAGTTATGTAGTTTGTTTGTTTTGAATTTCGTACAAAGCTACACGAGGGCTGTCTGCGCTAGCCGTCCCTCATTTAGCAGTGAAAGACAAGGGGTAAGGCAACTAGTCATCACCACCCATCGCCAACTCTTGGGCTACTCTTTTACCAACGAATAGTGAGATTGAAAGTCACATTATTACGCCCCCACAGCTGAAAGGGCGAGCATGTTTGGTGGGACGGGGATTCGAACTCGCCGGGCCCCAATGATGTAGTAAGACAAAAATCATGAAGTAACCTTTTCTAACTTCTTTTTTCTCTTGAAAGTGCTTGTGTTTATTTTAATTGTTATTTTACACTAAAGACAGCTGATTTTAACATAATTATAATTATAATTATAGACCAGAGTTTTACCACACCCTTTATGATAATACAAATGAAAAAATAAAATATTAGAAAAATATATATTTTTTAAATTTTATATTTTAATTTAATGAAAAATTAATGACGGGGCAAGCACTACCACCACCACTCCCACCCATAGCATACCCCAAACTCACATTTCATAGCTAACTGAAATATATAAATTTTGCGAAATGAAGCTTGACCAACAAAGAGACAGAAAAGTGCAGTCCAGGCAGCCAAACTTCAGTAAATTTCTTTGTGAACCAATCAAAATTAGATCATTCGTGAAATGAATTCGTGGCGTTTTCACAGAATAATTGTTGGTAAAAATCAGTTAGATTAACAACTTTTAATATATAGAAAATCCAGTGCGTTTTGGTAACACTACATTCTAACAATGGCTTTTATGTCATGCTGCTTAGCAAGAAAAGTATAACCTAATATTGTTGTTAGTCTATGTACTGAAAGTATAAAATGTATAGACAACAAAATTGGAAATATATTTGTTGATTTCTTAATTTACAGTCTGTGTTGATTAAAGAAGTATTCATACGTTGGTGATATAACAGAAAATAGCTTTATTCAGAAACAATTTAAGTTTAAAATTGAATCAATATTTTTACTTTCATGATAAATTTTATGCACTTGACTCCAGACTAGATGATCCCACACTACGTCTTTACTTTAGGCTTATTATACCAACACCCACTACATTTATAAAGTTTCACGACACACTTGCACCCCTGTCACTAAAATCGTAATGGGCAAAAAGTAATCGAAATATTCTATCTAAATAACTGCATTCTAGGCCTTTATGACTCTCCTACTTCGAAAAATCAAGCGTGACGTGACAGACACTGGGTTTTATGTATGTTAGAGGATAATTAAGTAACATGGTTTTAACTTTCGACTCCTTATACTTATATATTGTTTAAATTGTTTATGTTTCTGATGTTGTTAACGTTCTAAGAATTTGAAATGTATCTTAACAATAGTACTTTGTGTCTGTTATTCACAGTTCTTTTTAGTTATAAAGCCCTTTCTATGCCTGACTTTCTACTCACCTGAAACATTCAGTTCGACTAAATGATTCCTTGTCTATAGGATGTTAACCGCAACACGTCTTTCTGTAACCACCTCTTCCATATCCAAGACCATAACCTCCTCCAATACCTCTTCCAACACCATAACCTCCTCCAAAACCATAACCTCCACCATAACCGCCACCAGAGCCTCCTCCAAAACCTCCTCCATAACCTCCTCCATAACCTCCTCCATAACCTCCTCCTCTTCCTACACCATATCCAAAACCTCCTCCATATCCGTAACCTCCTCCAGCACCCCTCCCTAGAAAGCCCCCTAATCCTCCATAGCCATTATAACCTCCATAGCCACTTACGACTTCACCTTCACGCCCATTAGACACACTGCTATAACCTTTTTCACCAAGGCCCTGTCTCACGTAACCTCCTACACGCTCAGCAAAAACATTGTGCTTGTAAACTGTAGTTACCAATAGAAGATTGAATAAAATCACCACCTAAAATAAAAAGTTAAACGTTAGGTGTAGTACAATTTACTATCATTAACTTAAACATGAATAACAAAAAAATAATAATAATTAATTATTTTACGTAAAACGAAATAATATTTTTTGTAAACAAGCAAAATATTTTCACGCACTTTCTGGCTTTGGAAGATGGAGAGTGGATGGCAGGACGTTTAATTAATGTTCTGTTTGATTCTGCTACTAGATAAAAATCTTAATCTTTTATCTGTTTGATTCTGTTACTAAGTAAAGCTCTTAATCTGTGGTTTCTTCAATCTACTCACAGATAAAAATTTTAATCTGTGTTTGTTTGATGTTGTTAACAATTAAAACACTTAGCTCTTAATTTCTGTTTGCTTGATTTTACTATCATGATTCAAATTGATTTTGTAGGTCTACCTTTCATAGATAATCTTGAGTTGAAATGAAGTAAAATACCGTATAAAACATCAATATGTATGCATCTTAGTTTAAGCAAGATTTTAAACCAATATTGTTTTGTTATAACAATTAGTAAAAATTAACCGTGCAACACTTACCTCCGTTTTCATCTTAACAGTATGAAAAGGCTTATGGAGAAGTTTTCTGTTGTGATCTTCTTGCTACTCGTGTTTGAATTTCACAGACTATTTAATATAATATGTATATATGCAGGTGACAAAACCCTAAAAAATTATAAAAAAATATCTAGCTTCATGACCCAAAAAATGACTTAATTTCTTTTATAAAAGTGAAAAGTATGTAACTCTCAAAAAGGTGGTTTTCCCCCGTTTATTTTGGCAAAAGAGAGTATCACATGACTCAATAAGTCTGGAAAATGTTAATGTTTCTGAACCACTTCCCAGGCAATCATAAAAAATCGTTGGTCTGCAAACTAAAGAAGTGGAACATTTCGTTTACTTTGTTACATTGTTGTTGTTTCTTTCATACAGTTTTCAAGGCTAACAGTAGGGTAATTACTATTGCCTTTTAAAGCATATTAAGTCAGATTCCAACCCTCTAACTGACAACAGAAACAAGAGTCAGACATTCTATATTATGATGCTCTGATATAAAAAACCATAGTGAAAGGAAAAACATATTCTAGTTGTGGAATAAAACTGGGAATTCCCAGCAACTCTTAAAAACTTGACATTCTTATTTCCAAAAATTGAGCAACTTCAACCGTTTGAGAAAAATCAATCTTTTTTTTTATCTGAAACTTTTTTCGTTCGGTTAGTTTTCTGATTTCATGCAATGATTGCCTCGGTAATTATAGCTTCCTGTTGATTAATACGAACCATCACTCATGAAGAAGCATAATCCTGTAATTATTGTCAAAGGACTGGGTTTTTCCATTTGCAGCTCTAAACCAGTAGCCAGATACAAATATTATAGTTTGTTTGTTTGTCCTTGTATTTTTGAATGGCACAACTGACTGAAATTGAGTTAACTGTGTATTGCAATTCAAACTGCAAAGGGGTTGAGTTAAACATCTAAACCCTGTAACTTAATATCTCATGCGCCTTATAAACGTCTTTTAATTTCATATGCAAATATTAATTCCTATACTTATACAATATATACAGCTCTAAGCTTTAACTTTGAAAATATTTCATTAATAGACTAACGTACAGAAAAAAGTAAAATAGCCATAAATGAGCAAAGTGTATGGTTCCAAAAACAATAAAGTGATTAATGTTGTCAGAAATGCAAATGATTTAAAAGTATTCCAATTAAAAAAGAACGTTTAATAATTGTTTACAGTAAACAACATACATGAGGTTTTAATTCATTAACATATATTTATATGTACATCATCCTCTTTCACACTTAAGTAACAGGGGAAATTCTAATTATATTTACTAAGTTAAACTGAGCAATCTGATATTGTGAAAACTTCCAGGTTAATGAAATAGCTACTTATGTTTTAACTATTTATCTAATAAGAAGTATTATACAACGTATATAGTTTTTCTTTCCTCTGTAATAAAGAAAGTACGATTACATCAAGAAGGTGTATATTACACAAGTATGACTATGACAAGTATGTTTTTACTTAATACATATTAATTGCCACAATGTCTGCAGCTCCAGATATGAACACTTGCATGGAACACGCGCATTATGCTCAATTGGAGAAATAATTGTCTTTCTGGTATAAATGTACTATTCAAATGCTTGTGTAAAAAAAAAGGAGAAAATCATTGTAACAAATATCGAATTACGTGGTTTATCTAGAACAAATAAACAGAAATGCGAACACGTCATAGCTTCCATAAGTTGGTGAGGATATGTAAAGTATTACTAAATGTCTCACATTCATTAAGTTCCTTAATTAATAGTATCTAGCCTCACAATTTTACACTTGAAAATAAAATAACTAAAATAAATTATCCAAGTCTATATTAAGCATCTCACAGCTGGGTTTACTTTTGGCAAGTAGATAATTTTACTCGCTTAAGCTGAGATATTCCAGAATTAGAAAGAACTAATATCATAATTATGCTGACGTCACAAATTAATTAAGCTGACAGATTTTATCTAGTTACAGTTGCTTCTGCCTAATAGTACTTCATAACACACTTTATTTTTCCGAGATTTAACACACAAAAGACTTATAACATCTGTACAAAATAGCAATATTTCTTCAACAATGGTCAGTTTCAGTTATCAAAGAATCTGTATTGGACTTAAGTTAAACTCGTGTTTCTTCTCGCTTTTAAAATGTGGAGCTATTTACGAGTTTGTAATTATAGAACTTAACAATTTGTTATGTGGTCTTCATACAAGTGTATGTGGGTTGCATTTTTAGGTTGTTTGTTTAAGCTCAAAGCTACACTTTATAGAACCTCAAGTTTACCTCCGAACAAACAGAGGATGTATATTTTTTGTAAACGTTCGCGAGCCAAGGTTTCATTGGTAACACTTCATTAAAGTTGAATTTCTGTTTTTGCATATGCGATATAAATTTGACAATTTGTTTTAGCACTGTTAAGTGGTAAATAATATCAATTGTCTTTATTAATAAAAATATAATTCTGATGTTTTTAAGCTATCTATTAACTAAATGGACTACAACTCATTCTATGTGTGATGAAGTTGCCCATATTATCAAGAAAAAATGTGTCACTAAATATGTATCCATATTATTTACAGGTTTTTCACCATTCTCTGAAAAATATTAATTTAAATTCGTATTCGAAATAGATCATTCTTAGTGTTAGTGAACACGCAGATGCCCCCCCCAATGGCACAGCAGTATGTCTTCGGACTTACAATGCTAGAATCCGGGTTTCGATACCCGTGGTGGGCAGAGCACAGATAGCCCATTGTGTAGCTTTGTGCTTAATTACAAACAAACAAAAACAAGACACACATTTGAGAACATATTCAAATTATGCATTTTGTTTAAAGAATTAAATAAAACAGTACAAAACTGCTTGAATTAATTGACAAAAGTGGAAATTTTAATCTTTACTGCATTTAAGAACAACTAAAACTATTGTGATGTATAGATAAATATATATTTGTAGTAATGACTATGAATTGTCATCAGACATAATGTATTAATAGTTTAACTTAGTTATCTAGCTCTATCATTAAGTACGACACATTCTGGTACCTAACAAGTTAAACTACTAATCAGCCAAGGATTGAGGTTAATGTCCGATATATTCAAGCTCACTGGAATCGTAACTACTGTCTGTTTAGAATTTTGTACAATACTGTAGGAGCTTGCAATATTATTGTTTTGTTTTTTGTTGTTTTCTCAGGAATCAACTACTTTTCACAATAACAAATAGTCGAAAAATAAGCTTTGTTTGATAATTAGTTTTCACTATGCTAGTTTAACATATGGATTTAAAATTCAATTATTTTAAGCTAGTCCAACCTTTCGAGGTATTATTAGGAGTAAGACTGGAAATGTCGTTAAAAGCGAAGCTACCCAATTCAACCCATTCTAATCCTAATGTGTTTTAGCTTTCTCGCGGTCTATTCCATTATGTTCCTCCTGTTTGTTTGTTTGTAATTAGACACAAAGCTGCACAATGGGCTCTCCTTGTGCTCTGCCCACCACGGGTATCGAAAACCGGATTCTAGCGTTGTAAGTCCGCAGACATACCGCTGTGCCACTAGGGGGCATTTATAGTCTTAGCTTACTTTTAATCAGAAGTTCTTAGTACCTGCCTAATGGCTAGACAACCAGCACCTTTACTTCCCTCTCTCTCAACGTTTATCAACCAGTACAGGTTGGGAGCCTATTTTTTATTAACCAGCGAATGTCATCAGGCAATATAAAAATCTGAAATCATGGAACATTGTTTATTTCTTGTATTAACAATTAAAATGAAATATTAAAGAATTAATAAGATATTACAGTTGGCTTAAGTTTTCTTATCACTCAACAAACCATTGTTTGTACGGTTATTTTTTGTTATTAAATATTGCTGGATCTTACTTATGATGCCTGCGGTTAACAAATCCTCTGAACCATGAAAAGTTTATCATGACTTCTTAACTTATATTAATAAGTGCCAAAATATCTTTGGGCTATATAAAAACAATTCCTTTAACAATACAAAAACCTGTTCTACGTCTTTTAGAGTTTCGTGAAGTCTAACAATGTACGTTTAACTAATATTTGCATAGCTTCTTAATTACAAAGAATAACAAATTCGCGTGCAATATCCAATGAACATTAAATATCTGTAATAAAGAAGGTGTTTAATTTTGGCGTTATTACTCAGAAACAGTTATATCGTCTAGGTTTTCTGTAGTAGCCCATGTTGTCATAGATTCAGTGTATTGATTCAACTTCACTACTAGAAATGATTGTTTGATATAAGTCCTACACACACATATATATAATGAGGCAATACGTGTTTGTCTCAGAACTGAAGTACTGTTTTATGATTAACACTTGTCATAACTTCAACGTCGAATTTCAACATTATAATTGGAAATAATAAATAATAGATAATAAATAATAAGTCCTTTGTAATTATACGTTACATATTTGCCACAATTCCAACGTTACTCACAAACAGTTTCGCGTATAAGTCATATATAAAATAAAACAATAGATTCGAAGAATTGCTGCTGCCTTGTTTTTCTGGAACAGTTATTTCTTATAGCTTCTCTATTAAAAGATTACATTACTGCTAATAAGTTGTGTATTGCAAATAAAAAAAAATATGTTGGTCATTGATATAGATCAGTGTGTTAACATTGTTCTTTGCAAATGGTTGTTTCGTATAATTCCTCCTTAATGAATATGTATATAATATTGCATTAAACATCATTATTTGGAAACAGTGCTCTTGTGTTAGTCCTCAAACGCATATAGTGTTCTTTATTTTTCTGTACATTATTTGTCGACATTAAAATCTGGCCAACTAATGACGGTGCTCGTGCCAAGAAACATACCAAAAAACTCTATATTTTGACAAGAAAAGCAGTTTACATATGGAATACCTTATGAAATGGAAGAAATTAGATTTTTGGATGAAATGTTATTATACAGTGGACAGAAGAGTTCGAACTTTAATTCAAAGTAAACAGAAGTATC